AAATGCTACCACAAGTAGCACGAAATAAGAGGGCCTATAAACAACCAAAGCTGGGATCAAGTTGAAAATCAAGCAATACAAACTGGAAGCCAGAAGAAGTTAAGCGCATTTGAAACTAAGCCAATTGGCACGTGTTGCATCCAGCACTTTGGTTCTAATATGCACAAAGACGGTGCAGTTTTGACGTTTTTTGGCCGGTGAGCTCAAGGAAATAATTTCGGCATGTTGGTTCTCAATGCCTTAGCGTCTTGTCCAGCTAAGGTGAAGGCTCAAGGCGCTGTTCATCGTGATGCGGTCTGGCAATGGGTTCACCCTGCCAACATCTGCCAACCATGTGTTCAGTTGTTGCCACCACTGCGTCAAATTTGAGGGATTGTCTCGGCTTTCCATGCTATAATAAATGAACGTGGCTTCAACAGTCATGGTTCGAACAGTCTTGCCTTGTCGGACTTGCATTGACTAGTATGTACGCCTTCGAGATTCCCATGAATATCTAGGTGCCACTGCTATCAATGTTTCCACCACCATCGATATCACGAGCAGTGGTAGTTCGGAAACCATGGGAAAGCACCAAACATTTGGCCCAGGCCCATGCAAGCCGCCAAAAAATGTGGGTGTCCAAAATGGTACCCAGATGACAGGTCTTCCCAGCAGACCATGACGGGGAGCTGAGGGTGCGAAGGTTGGAGGACCAAAGGATACTGTGGCTTAGAAGAATGGAGTGGGAGAGCGCGGGAGAAAGAGGATTGCAGCAGTTGCCTTGATTTCTATGATTAGAGTAGATTATGGAGAGCATACACGGTTCCACACACAACATGCACGAATAGATGAATATGTTTACAAAATATGATGGATGAACGCATGGATTGATGATGTATTTGCCAAGCAAGCAATCAGGAAGAATCTATCTCATCAGGATTGATCCGAGCAAACTCATTTTGGACTCGTTGAGCCAGTTGTTTGGCTCAATAAGAAGCGGGCCATCTATCTACACATTTCACCAATTCCCAAGTGATCTGTTCGAATGCGCCTGCCCTGGGACATTGTCTGCAGCAGTGACAGGCTGGCCTGCCAATGCTTTCCTCTAGACAGTGGCCTTTTGTTCATGCCGCTGACTTTCAGTCACATTTGACAGCGAAAGACCGCAAATCAAACCGCAATTGAACCTGCCAAGCTTGACTGCGGGCACATGCTGTGACCTTGGCTACATCAATATTCCTTTGGAAACCTAAACCGAGTTGCTGTCACTCTCAAAAAAGAAATGATACTGTACGAAGTACATGTGGCACCACTGCCAACTATATAAGTCTAGTCCATGAGCAACCCACTGCTGCATTGCAAAGAACAAGGTCGAGAAGTCCACCATCGCGAGCCTTTGCTGAAGCGCACAAAGACCGCAGGATGAACAAGATTCGAACTGAGAGAATTGAGCGAAATCATTCCGTTGAATTGAAATGCATGAAATCCATGGAATGTATTGAATGCATTTGATGTATGTGAGTCATCATTGATCATGTATCTCTGTCAGAGTTGCTTCGGATCACTTTGTCTTGCTTGAGTAGTCAACCTTGTTTTCCGCATGTATATCACATACATTCAGATTCAGTACATTATGCATCTCTGTTCAGATCTTGTCTCGCACTCGCCATGGCACCTCGTCCAACACTAGCAGAGCAGGCTGCCATTTGCCTTCCCGCCCGAGCTTGGTTACCTGGCACACCACCAGACATTTGACAAGGTGAATTTGCAGTGACATCAAACTTTGGCCGGCACCTTGGCAGTGAGCTCCTTCGCACGAATGCCTGTGGACAGAGTCAACAATGAGATCTGGATTTGAACACTGTGTAAATAACAAACATATTTTGTATATATATTATATATATACATACATACATGCATATATCTATATCCATCTATATCTATATAATAACATATAATAACCATACGCGCAAACCCCCTCTTTCGCCTTTGCAGGGTTTCCAAGTCCATTGAAGAGCAATATTGACTGGCGTGTTGAAAGGAAACCTTAAACATGCTTCAAGGAAATCATTAAATGCCCACCCCCGTGAAACTTTATATTCAAGGGAATCGTCAAGATAGGGAATCATTAAATCCCCACAACCGTGAAACTTTATATTCAAGGGAATCTTCAACAGGTTTCAACAGAGTTTCAAGGGAATCATTAAATCCCCACCCCCGTTAAACTTTGTATGCAAGGGAATCTTCAAGAGGATTCAACAGAGTATCTAGGGAATCATTAAATGCCCTCACCCGTTAAACTTTATATTCAAGGGAATCTTCAAGATGTTTCAACAGAGTTTCTAGGGAATCATTAAATCCCCACCCCCGTTCCGTTAAACTGTGTATGCAAGGGAATCGTCAAGAGGATTCAACAGAGTTTCTAGGGAATCATTAAATGCCCTCACCCGTTAAACTTTGTATTCAAGGGATTCTTCAAGATGTTTCAACAGAATTTCTAGGGAATCATTAAATCCCCACCCCCGTGAAACTTTTCATTCAAGGGAATCTTCAAGAGGTTTCAACAGAGTTTCTAGGGAATCATTAAATCCCCCCCTGGTAAACTTTATATTCAAGGGAATCTTCAAAATGTTTCAACAGAGTTATCCCCACCCCCGTTAAACTTTATATTCAAGGGACTCTTCAAGAGGTCTCAAAAGAGTTGATGATGATGTTGATGATGATGATGATGACGGCGACGACGACGACACTATGATGATGACGACGACGACGACGATGATGATGATGATGTTGTTGTAACATTAACGCACAGGTGGTTGCTAAGCTGTGCGTTGCAAGATGAAAGCCATGATCACACAGTATTTTTTGATGCTCAGACACGCGGAGGACGTCGGCGCGCGCAAGAGGATGGTTTTGCCCGTAACCATACAACACATATATATATAGTTATAATTTATAATATATATATATATTATAATATATATATATATATTATTATATTATATATATATATTATATTATATATATATATTATATTATATATATAGTTAAAATTTATAATATATATATATATATATTATATATAGTTGAATAATTAACTCTATATATATATAGTTAAAATGTTAACTATATATATATTATAATATATAAATATATACATGTGTGTGTGTCTATGTCTAATTGTCTATGTGTGTATAATTGTACATCATGTACACATATGCCATATACATCCATATACATTATATGTTTGTGTGTCTCTCTGTGTGTTGAGCATACAATTCATCTATATATAGTATTATAAGTATAGACTGTATAGGCAGACAGACAGACAGAGAGAGAGAGAGAGAGATTTTTACATATATACATAATTTATAGCCACATGAGAATTGCCAAATAGAGTAGAGTCTAGAGCCAGTCGCGTTTCTTTTCCTCGCGGCAATTCCAACAAGAGCCTCTCACTTCCTCATCACTGTCGACCGCTTGGCTGTGCTGATCTCTTCAAACTTGTGACCTTGGAGCTGTTAGTGCGAGAGCAATCCGATTGGGGAAGACAGGAGCAACCTGTCTTTGGCAAGCTCCAGCATCTCCAGTGACAGTGAACAAAGTGGGAATGCAGTCAATTTTATGTACCAAACTGCAGCCTCGAAACATTTGCCAAACCGAGTTCTCCAAGAAGGTGATCAACCTTGCAAAGAACATATTTTAAACAAAATTAAACACTATTCATCAGTGCATCAGCATCACATTTGCATGTCGACCCGCAAGGTTTGGTGCATCAAAACATGCGAGTCACGAGCGATAGCCCTCAACAAACTCAAATAGAAACCAATAAAGTTCTGGTTCTGCAATCAGCAATGCACTGGACAATCACAGCATGGAAGAAGCATACAAATCTTCTGCTTCTTCATCTTGTCAAGCTGAATACTCAAGTTGGGTGCGTCCATGCCGATATGCACAGCAGAAAGGTTTGTGCCTCCCTTGCCTGGGCACTGCACTAACTAGTACTGCTAGATTACATCTAGTACTAGCTCTTAGCTCACTCACATCTTAGGGACCAAGGAAGGCCCAACTTTTGCCTGCACCCACATCGTGTCAAACTTCTCCGGGCAAAACATCTGGACACCAGAAATCTCCGAAGCGTGGCGCAGCTCCGTTTCGAAACGCTTGAGTACCATGGCATAGATCCTTAGAGGAAGATTCGGGTAAGCTGTTTGATGCTTCAAGTCCACTGCAAGTTGTAACCTTGAACGAAGGCTATAACAGAAACAACCTAGTATAACTGACGCCAAGTAATTAGTATCATGACGATTATCAGAAAGATAAGCGTCCCCTCCTCATCCTTTTCCTTCTCCTTCTCCTCCTCCTCCTCCTTCCACTTATTCCACTTATCCTACCTCTTTCTCCTAATCAGCATCAGCATCAGCATCAGCAGCAGCATCATCCTCCTCATGATTGTCGTAATTGTCTCTGTCATTGTCGTGATCGTCGTGATCTTCGTGATCATCGTCATATCATAGCCATCGCCGTTCTAAAAAACTGCAGATGCCCTGAAACAAAGCCTCTCTTTGGCTCCTGTCAAAACAATAGAGTAATGGGGTTCGATTTCGGAGATTACGCAGCGATTAAAACGGTCCCACACCGCCACACCGCTTGGTCGTGAAATTCATGATGAGTGATGAGTCAAGCGGATACTCAACACAAGATATGCTGTGCGGCCGTAGGATGTACTCGGCACAATTGACATGACTGCAAACGTGACACAGGCACTGGCTCTGGTGCCAGGGGATACAACACTCACCCTACGCTGGGGCATATAACTCCTGTTACAGTAGACACAACCGCAGACACATAGACAGAAGCATTTTTTCAGCACAATGTCATAATGAGCTCAGATGTACTGGTTGTATTGTTAGTTAGTCTGTTTGTAGTCAAGGCATTGTAGTGGTTGGTTCATAGGGATTCCCACAATGGATGACGATAATCTCCATTAATCTCCAATACATTGGGTAGTATTGAAAGTATAGCCCCCAAAAGTCAACCAACAGCACTTCACATGTCTTCATTGTGACAAGATCTCACCGGGCCACTGTGCATCGAGCCGAACCAGTTTGCGCATCTGCTTAACCACAGCCGGTGGGAGATCGCTGATCGCGTGGTCGGGTACAAAGTGCTCCAAATGACCTGAGGGTACGAAGATCGAAGAAGCGATCAAGGTGCAACGGTGCCTGGAAACTCCAAAATGTCAGGAATGTCCGAAAGGAATCATTGGAAAATTTGGAAACAAACTTAGGAACATCATGGAACATCGTGATACCTTTTTCCAAGAGCATAGAGCTCGACCATTTCAGCAAGGGGACTAGTGCCCGCCAGAGGTCCTGGACCCAAGACATGTGGAACTTTGGGAACAAAGATCTTGAAACTTTGGAACATTGGGTTTGGTTCGATCTAGAAACCAAAAAATGGACCCAGGTCGCTGCTGTCTTCGTGATTCAATCAACTGCAAATTGCTCAATCAATCTTCCCTTGCTCTTTTATTCTTTTTTGCAGTTCGTCAGTTCGTCCTTTTCGTGGCTTTAAATTTGGTCTGATCTGTGAGCAAACGAACAAACTGACCTAAATGACCAAGCCCACATTGAACAAACTACTGCATCCTCTTCCACCACAAGCGCATGTCTCTGGCACGGTCCCATGCCTCACCGATCCAAAATGATCCAAAGCAAGAACATGTGTTTAAAACATTTTAAAACCATATCCGGGAAACGCTTCGACTGTCAATGAGTCTCCATAAGTTGGTAAGTCTCAATGAGCCTGGGCATGTCTCCATCACAATCCTGACTACAAGACGTTTCCTGTAAAGCGGCTAGCGGCTAGTGGACGTTCCAGACCGGCCATGTATGATTGATAGGTGGCCTGCTGAACAAGACCGAGAAGTGGCACGTGCGTTTTGTGCGCGCCTGTGCAGGTTCAATAAGCACAGCGACTCAATGTAGAATTCTGAAAGACCAACAAATTGTACACCTCAGCAGTCGGCAGGTGCAAGTCAAACAGAATGCTGTGCCGGACCTTTGACATCTGAATCTAAATACTACTAGACACAGCTGCCACAAATTCAATCCATGCTTGTTGTAACAGAAATTGTAGTGCGAACGGATTGCCAACGCAAACAAAAAGACACCAAAGGGAACATATTTTTGCAGACCATTTTGTATAATTGTATAATCAAGTCAACGAAGATAAACAAACTTTAAAATTCTTTTGAGCTCATGCAAAGTAGCACCATTCACAACACCTTCAAGCTGCTGTCATGGCACGATTCAGTGCGCCAACTGCCGTCTGCAAATTTGGCTCAAATGAATTGAAGGGTGCTGAATGACTCCATTCAGTTGCCAGGTATCCTTGAGACGCAGGGCAGTCAACAAAACACAAACACAAAAGAGGGTTTGATTTGCAGTGTCCTTTTGATTTTGTCCATGACCTTTTTATACGGAACTGGTTTCATTTCCGTTTCCGCTCAGCTGCTGGTCTGCATATTCCATGGATTGTAGCAGCGATAGTTTGCAATTTGAGCCCATTCCTGCAAGATGGAGGCAAATGGATATGTTCGCAAGAGTCCTCTTCAACTTTCCCAGCTTTCCCCCTTTTCGTCCATCATTGTACCTTGCCAAAAGGCTGCAGTTGCAGCTGCCCTTATGTTGCATGAGGTTCATGGCTCCCCTGCTCCTCTGTGTCTGGAAGCGCTCCATCTAGAGGTGCATCCTTGAGCTCAACGAAATGATTGATCCACTCAGCCAATCCACCATATAGACCTGAATCGCACGGAGCGAAAGCCAACTGCTAAGCACCAGCTACCCAAACTTGCTTGACCCAACTGCACATGGACACCCCACTTTGGGAAAACCATCGAAAAGCATTGAACACCACCAAATCCTCTGATCCCAGTGCATACTTCATTGGGAGACCACTGGCTGCCAGCCCGCCAGTGTCTGGTTTCGACTAGACTTGTCACATCTACCAGGGTTAACCTGTTTGAATAGAGGCATCTTTGCAGCTCTTGCTCTTTGTTCCACCACCTTCTCATTTGTCACCAGTGTGCCTGGACGCGTGGGGAAGTCAGTGCCCGCAACTGCCATGTTACCCCAGAAGTCATACTTGCACTCCATAAATTGTGACCTGAGTAAGGGAGCCAAGTGGAGCCCAGCGACAGCAAGGACATCCGAACACACATCCCAGTCTTCTCTTCACAACTTCCGAGCCAGTGACAAGATATGCACTAAAGGACTGCGGAAAATGATCATGTCGATCTGACTATCTCCGCGTGGAGTACCTGGCATCGTGCAGATGGACGTCGAATTTGGGCGCAGCAAAAATTAGATGTTGATCTCAAGATAACACTCAGTGCGTTGGGGACGTCTTTCATCTTGCACGGCTAGTTTTGTACTCTTGCGACTTGCGACTCTTGCCTTTGCTCAAGGCCAGTTTTTCAATGCTATTCATGTTGTCCGACAATGCAAGAAGCTCTGTGACCGTCCAAGTTGCTTTGAAAGGACTCTTCCTCAGTTCATCCCAGCGGCAGTTATTGGATCAGGATGCTGCAAATCAGAATAGGCCCTGTGCTTACACAATACTAAACCTGCAGATCCTGCAGCAAGGCGCTCGATTCTCTTGAAAATAGGATGGTGCCACCACCAAGGAGGCATCGGCTCTGAAAGATGTTCCAGCACACTTGGGGATATGAATGAACCTGTGCAGCGTGGCGGCGTGGCCCAGCAAAGCGCTCAAACAAACCAGGATGGACAGATATTCCTCTGCAATCGAAAATCTAGATCATCGACATTGAAAGCATGCAAATGTAGCATTTCAGACTATTTCATGGAAACTGTGCAAATATGTTGCGCTTAAATCGCATCAAAATGCCTTCCTCAGCTTTCAAAACACTTTCTGCGCCAAGAAACATGTAATTCTTTGCAGACCAATTGGCGAAGGTCACGTTTCCCAAGGGATTGCTCTGGTTCGCATCGCGAGGTGTTTCGGAAACGTTCGTTACCTTGAATCACTTGCATGGCAGCGAAGGATGGCACCATCAGAGACCCTCACAAATCATGACGCCCAGATTGGGTACTCCTATGTCCTATGTACTCCGTGCAGCTCAAGTGCTTTGGACATGGAGGTGATTGAACGTTTGGAGTTTGCCTCAAGAAAGTCAACAAAAAATCCACAAGATCAGAAAACATACAGTGCGATGCTGGAGATAGAGCTGGACTTTAAATCTGAAGACAAACAACATTGGAAGTAGAGTAAACAGAACATGTCCTAACGTTTCAGCTGTTCCGTCTAGAGTTTAGCTGCCTAGTTGGTCAATGTGGGGACGTCTCCCGAAATTTCAAATCCTCCACACGAGCCATCCGTGCCAAGCCGTGACACCCAGCCTGCAAGAATGAGGAGCACTCATCTGTTGATGCATCAGAACATGCCTTCTCAGTGGGAGGAAGAGATGATGCTGTGCACAGCACTACTGGCCAAAGCAAATCAAACTTATTCTGAAAGATTTGTTGAATACTTTGACGCATACGGATGCATACGGTACGATGGCAAGACATACTCCTCGATGCTTCTGCTCATAGGACATGGAGCCAAAATGATCCCAGCGCCATGCTGCCAGATGCTGCCAGGTCACCGCCGATCCAAGTAGCCTTGTAGCACGGGCGAAGATCACATGACTTTTTCGTGACTCGCTCCGGATCTGTTGGGTCTCTTAGGTTTCTTGGGCCTCTGTGAGCATGGAAGTATCATGAAATATCATGGAATGTCATGAAATATCTTTTGGAACCAAGCGGCACATTGCTGGCATCACCCTGCAACAAATGCAGCTGAAGTATCAGAGCTCGCCAAACAAACATGGCGCGAGGGCCACATGAAGCCACTTCTACAAGACTTGTTGAGGCGCTACAGGTTTTTGACGGCTGCCAAGCTTGTGTCTGCTTCAAGTCTCAATTCCCTCTGGCAGGCTTTCTCGATTGCGGACGAAGGATATAAATAGGGGGTAAGTGATCCCAATGGCACGCAGGATTTCTGAGCCGATGTCATTTTGCATTGATAAGGAGAATGTTCGATAACGATTCAGACTTGCACAGCCTGAGCCAAGAATATGGCATAGTCGCAGACCAGTTGACATGATCAGACAAGATTCAGTGCCTCTGAATGAAAAAAATGCTGGCAATATTGGGTCTACTTTGTTTGCATCTTTTCCATTTGTTCCAATTGTTTCCCATGCTTTCCTTCTTCAGGGGCATCCATCCTTGGTTGGTGACCTTTGACCAACATCTGTGCTGGCCTGGTCCCACCTTCTCGGTCAAGGGCATGTCCAGAAGATCTGAATGCAAAACCAGGCTTTGAGGCTTTGAGATGTGTCATGGGACTGTCATGTTTGGCACAATTCGTTTAGCCCCGCCAAATGCAAATATTGCCAAAATATACCGAAAGCAATCTCTAAGATGAATAAACTTCATCCTCTTCATTGCGATGTCATGAAAACAATCAGATGGTTCTATAGTTCTATAGCACTTGCTGCTGAGCGCCTCCCCTTGGAGCTAAATGACGACATTGCAGCTTCACCCAGAAAAGCAAGGGTTACTGTCTTGCACCATTCACAAAGAGAAATGTCATGAAATGTCAACTTGTGTGGGTGACCCATGCTCAGAATCTGACGGCGACTCTAATCAAACAAATCTCGGGCGCGATCAAGTTAGCTTTTACTCGGAAAAGCCCTTAACATCTTTATCGCCTCCCGTGAAAAGCTGTCTTTCAGCTTGGAGTCAGGAGCTTGGCTTCTATCATGCTTCATGACTCTGCTTGAACCCACAATATATCGCTAGCGCCTCAGGGCCACTGGCCAGTCTGATGTCTTGGGGCGAATGCGACACAAGGGAAAATGGTACAAAAATATTGACAAAACATAAAAAGATGCAAAAAGATGCAAAAAGTGTGACCCGAACATCGATTCCCAGGGAAACTGTTTCTTTGTCCGACGGAGCTGCAGATTCTACCGTTTTTTTTTTGCAGCATCAGCGAGCTCAGCGATCAAAGTTGCAATTGAAAATCTCCGGACCTTGCCAAAGAAATGGTTCTTTCCATTTCTTTCCTCTCTGGTCACTGGTCAACTCCTTGACATCGGAAAATCATTTTGGGATATCCTGAAAGCATCTGAAAGCTGAGATCCAGGCAGTGATGGCTTGTCCAAAGGTCTCTGAAGCATCGAAGTCGGGATCTTCTTCTGACTCGTCCAAGTCCACCGGCATCGGGCGGAACGACTCGTGACCTTTCTAGCCGGGAGCACGGGACGCAACATCTGGCAACACTGAAAGTTACAACTTGTCCTACATCAGAATATTCCTGGTAGTCTTTGCGTTGGTCAAAGCCATTCAAAACCAAAGTTGCAGCTGAAGCCAAGGCAAGAAGAGGACAGCTCATCCAAGTTTGGAAGACTCATCCTTAGAATTCAACGCACAGGGGCAAAGTGCAATCTTGGTTTACCCTTGGGCACGCTTACCTTGAGGCAAACAGTGCATGGTTGCATAGAAACCATCTGTCCGCAACTACACCCTTGCATCAGGTCTTCAGCTCATTTGAAGTCTAAGTGTCAGCTCTGTGATGTGCTTGCCAAAGTAGTCTTCCTCCGAAATTGTGCATGGTTCCTCACAGACCCACAACACCCTCCGCGAAATCAAGACACACACCGTCCGAATACCTCAAAGTTGGTCCATGACTCGACTTTGACTATAGTGCTATAGAGGTTTTAAACCCAAGTCCAAATCAAAATCTTGGTTTATTCGCTGCAACTAATGAACTAGTGACATGACAGCGACCTCTCTTTGAGTCGAGAAACACCGTAGAGTTCCGCCTCCAGAGCGCAAAGACCCCGGCGGTATGGCGGCAGCGGATCCACGTCAGGCCTCACTTCCAAGAGTCTGCCGTAGGCCTCAACAGAACTGCAGCCATCAGCCGGTCCCAAAACAGGAACTCATCAGAACAATTACTGCGTCCCTGGAAAAACTCTGGGCTGTGAAAAACGTTTCTCTGAGCTGAAGCCCACATGCCTGTCGGAGAGTGTGGCCATTGTGAAGGAAAAAAGTCAATGCCAGGGTTGGAGAGCGATTATGCCCCTGGCTCAGTTCAAACACATACTCAGATGACTCAGCATTCACATCACCGCAAAAAAGAAAATCACATCTGGCCCATCTGGCCTGATCACAATGCAGCAGCACCAGCCGATTTTCAGCGGTGCTCTTTGGCTGCACTGCAGATTGCAAGGCCTGCTTCTTCGAGGCCCAAAAAAAACACTTCTTAGACAAAATATGATTTTCTTCTTAGCTTTGAGATGTTGATTCCACAAGTTCATCAGACTTAGGAGACTGTTCAGGACAAGAGCACAACGCATGCTTGGCACAAATCGAGAAAAGACCCAGAACCTGCAGAGCTTCGCTCAACTCAACTCTCCTTAGTCCAGTCCAAAGAGAGAGAGAGCATGTCAGAAGTCAAGTTTCAGAACTGGTAGGCGCGTCCTGCCATGGGCTGTGATTTATTTACATTTGTTTCTCTACGTAGCTCTCCTGTTTACATGAAACAAAAAATCACAGGCTGCGAGTCCAAGCTGCGTTTCGCCGCAAGTGCGAAGTCTGCCCACTGAAATGGAAAAGAAGAAAATCCGGTCACTGAGACTAGAGTGACAGTGTTGTTGCCGCTCATCCGGGATAGGGCCAATCAAGGCCCAAAGGACACACGGACCCCACGGACCCGCACGGACCCCACGGACCCGCACGGACCCCACGGACTCATGGACTCCACGGTCCCCACGGACCCCGCACGGACCGGCAAGGACCCGCAACGGACCCACGGACTCACGGACCCCCGCAGGCCCCGCACGGACCCAATGCAGGACCTGAATCGATCGATTTTCCTCACCTGCCAGGCAGCTTTTAAGAGACCTCGTCCTCCCTCGTCCTCTCCTCCTCCTCCTATGCCATATATATATATACTTCCAGATGGTGTGTCAGAAACTGTGTCAGGGTGGGGATCACTCGAGGGAAGTAATTTAACTGTGTGTATATGTATATGTAAACATATATATATATGTATATATATATACATGTATATGTGTATAAATATATATGTATATGTATATAATATATATATATAATATGTGTATGTATATATGTATATGTATATATATATACATGTAACACACATCCTATGTACACACCTCCAGCTCCTACTGTGTATATTCTATGTTAGCCATTACATGCTTTACATACGTACAACTATACACATATCTACTACTTGCAGTAACGAAATACTGCAACAACATACCGCACAAGCTACCGCTAATTACCAGAGAGTACACAAGTTTCCCAACCTCATCGGGGGATAGCCAATTAACCTAACGGACTCGGGCTGGCAATGGACCGGACCATAGCCGCTCATCCATGCATCTTCGCTTAGCATCAAGGAATGATCGAGGCTTTGGCAGTTCCTTTCTTCCAGCAATCCGCTTGAAGGTACAGCTAATAGGAGAATGTTCAACTCATGTATTTCCCAGTGACAAAAAATAGCTCTGATCGACTGAGGCCAAGTCAAATCCAGCTGTTCATCTGGTCTTAGCCAATCGGACATTCGAAAGAACTTGTGATCAATCTCGTGTTGTCCATGCCTTGGGTCTGAATGGTGACATGAACGTGTTCACACAGAAACACATCATGTGCGCTTCCAGTCGCCTTGAGGAAATACATCTTATCACACGTGAAAGACTTTCACGCAAGCAATACTTGTTTTGTTGCATCACAAGCAAAATGAAGGCAGCCAGTCTGGAAGAGAGCTGTTTCAGCTGCTAGACTTACCAGGATGCGACATGCGCTTGCAATTGCCCCTGTCTTCTCTGGAATTTGTAAGTCTCGACAAGTCTCCTATATTGCCATGGACAAGCTTTGCTTGTTGATTGCTCTCATCATGTTCCGGCAGTTCGTTGTGCCCTCGTGTATTTCTGTCACCATCCCTTGCATGTCATACTTGGAATGAGCTTTGTGTGCTGTCACTGGTCACTGGTTTGTCTCTGTCTGAATCAAGCTCCTTTTTACATTTATGACACGGTAGGGCCAAATAGTGTTTGTTATTCCATTTGTCTTATTGCCTCCTGAATTCAGACTGCCCATACCTCCATTATTGGCAGTCTTGAACAAGTTCATCCCATGCACTTTCTTTAGTTTTGTCTTGTCGGCCAGGTCAGCTTGTCCCCACATTCACAGAGCTTTGGCATCAATCAATATGACGAACCGACAAATTGTCGTAACATCTGTTGGAACTTTTGAACAGCAATGCAACAGTTCTTGTGTCCAAGCGGCTTGGTCAGGAGGGCAGAGATTGCAGTGAAGTTGCGGTGGGAGCCAACTGCGATGATGTGGGAGACTTTGCACCCCAGCCTTGCTTCTCAACGAAGAGTCAGGGTCAGAGTATCAACATGGTCATGGGCAGAATGTTTCGCAGAGTCTATCGCGCTCTGTCAACTTCTGTATCAAAGGCTTGCAGGGCCTTTTGGCACATGCAGGGCGAGACACAATTCTCCTGTCGCTGCTGCAGCTGCATTCCATGCATTGCCCAAAGCAAGCACGGCACCACCGGGTTCCGGAGACCTCCAAAGTTCCTCCACGAAGCCCAGACATTGCAAAAGAAATGCAACAATATCACATTTACTGTTTACGGAGGTCACAAATACATACAAATACTATCCAGGTTGAAAACAGAACTTTGGTTCAGCTTCAAGCAGTTTCAAACTGTCAGATTTCAGCACGGAAAAAAACAATTTTAATAGAGTATAGATAGCAACTTGCCTCGTGAAAGCAAAGAGAAAGAAATCACAGCTGCATCAAGATTTGGAGAACCCCTGTTGCACTGCAACCGGCAGTGGCCATCGCCAGTATGCATATGCCAATCGCGCCAAGCGGCAGAAACCCCTGCGTCGCATGGATAGAGGCCCAGCGGCATGGTTTGGACTCATGACTTTGCCACAATTCATAAACCACATTAAACCACAATGTTTTCCATCAGTTGGCCGCTGGCTGCATAAGTCTGTTGCCACAATGCTCGGAGAAGAAACAAGTCGCAACTAAGCCTACAATTACCCAGCAGTGTTGGGTTGCAACTCAAGTTGGTCATTTGATTGTCAAACGATCAACAACTTTATCCAGTGCCACAAGTGACGGTAAACGATCCGGTGCCATAAGTGACTGCCACAAGTGAACGTCGATCATCAGGGGTTGCTCTCTTTATGGTCGCAAGCCCGCTGGACAACTTTGATGGCAGCATTCGAGAGCCGCTGGGGGTGAAAGAGCTGCGATGGAAATGATGAGGTTCGGGGAAGAGAACCTAGGAGGACCTCCTAGGAGGCAACAAGGCGTTCACAGGAAGGCTTCTGTTCTTGGATCAAAAGAGGCAACGCAATCAAACTGTATCCAAGAGCACATGGAAGAGGGTATGGATTGCATCTTCAGAGAAAATATTCCACCTCAATGGACATCTCAAAATTCCAGACCAGTTCACAGGTTCACCAGCACGCTAGGGACAAAAAGAAAAGGACCGCCGCAGAAGACTCCAGCTAGCAGAATCTGTGCTGATATTTTTGAAGCTGGGCTTCAGGGTGTCAAAGGTGAAACAATTCTTGACTATGAACAATCTGGGCAATGCATGGCAATGCCCTATCTGCAAGTCTCACAGAAGGTTTGCAATGCACACCATCAGAGTCACCACCATCGAAAGGGCCACCGCCTGTGAATTGTGCAAGTCGCATTTCAATACCAACATGCAACGAATCCCCCATTCAATACGATTGCAGTCACTACTTCCTTTCTTTTGCCGCTCGACAAAACCCTGGCCTGGGTTCCTGAATATGGCACGGAAAGCATGGCAAGGCCACGCACGCCACGAGCATCTGCAACTTTTTCCTTCAAACATCAATGCACCATGCAGCCACAAGCCGGGCTTCTACATGCAGCAAAATGCTGTGGCTGCAGGCTTCAGCTCGTCAGACTGAGGCACCAACCACATCATGCTGGGAGGCAGTGGCAGAGGGAAGAGCTACAACCTGAGTCGCTGATAGTCACTGGTGACCCTGAAGCTGAAGCAGCTGAAGAATGAGCCGCGCCGAACACTTTTTCGGTCGAAATTGAGGCAGCAACTGCTCCCCGGCCGCCATCTGCAATGAACAGGGTTGAGTCCCCATCCTGGTCACTGCGCTTGGACCCAAGAGCCTTTCAAGAGCCTGCATGGGCTGAGAATTGAGGGGCAGGCCCAGCACAAAGATAAAGCATTCCCAACCTGGATGAAAGGACGCATGACATTTGCATGAAACTTCCTGTGTGTCAATGTGCGAAATCTACAAAATGTGGCAATTCATTTAAGGCAAACTTCATTGTGAGATTCTATGAATTCTATATTGCAAGCCATTCACTTTCTACCGTCATGCTTGCTGTTGCAGGAACCTGCGCCACACGCCGGACGCAGTGGTCATCCTCGCTGCAGCCAGCAGTGACGTCCCTGTTTGGCCTCGGAAATGTTTCTCTTGTGAGGCACCAGCGACCTGTTGGAAATGGCTTGAACTTGGCTGAATGATTTTCGTTGCTTCCACTCTGAGCCCTGGACAAAGCGAAAACCCCTGGGAGCCCCTCTTTTGGCCGACCAGCGAAGAACATGCCGGCAGAGGTCATGGCCAGACCTGCAAATTCTTGCAACTTACGCTTAGTCCTTAGATGCCTTAGATGATCCTACATGTCTCTGACATGTCCTTAAAGTATCTTAAAGACATTACTTCCCAAATTCTTACAGCCGCACAGCTCATGTCAGAGAGTGCCTGTCACGGACTCAAAGCTGTTGGCCAAAGCATGAGCGCCAGCCTGTCGTGCATTTTCATGTACCAACAACCAGCATCTTCTTGCATATTCCTTGTCTTAAGGATCTTAAGGCCTTGGGGCTATTCCATTTTTGTTTACCTTTTCAGTCTGTGACAGGATGCGAATGTTGCAACTTCCTTTCTGTTTACCCCCAAGCCTTAACTTTGGGAATGGCACCACCAGGTCGTGGCATCGGAACCGTAGCAGGTGCAGAAGCAAGGGCAGCACCTCAAACCATGAACTGATCGCATCAAAATCATCAAACTTCAAAGCTGGGATCGCGGATCTTGGGACCCACTGGGAACTTGCAAACTTTGAGGGCTTCACTGACATTGCTTTTGATCAGATTGCCCCAATACACTGTGAACCTGAACCAGGCACAAGCACGCTGTTTGCCTATGAAGTGCAGTTGAAACGTGCTCGATGTCACAGCAGATCTAATTTCCCTTCAGCATCAGGCATGTCCACTGCCACGGCGCCAGGCTGGAAAAGTTCAGGCCTAGCTCAAACTGCAAGCAGACTCTGAATTGGATCCGCAGCTCTAGATTCCGGGTTTTTTCCCATCAAATCGAAAGGAAACAACACTTCTAGTGGCAGACCCTGTAGAGTGAGGACAATCTGGAACCCATGCCGCCCTTCACATGTTGCAATATTCTGTCTGCACGTCCATTGCACGTCCATTGCATCCTCGAAAATTATTGGCAATCATCAGAAAAACTGCATCTTCTCTGTGCATGTCTAGAAAGCTTCGTAGATACCCACTACCCCTCTAACACCTATGCATCAAACAACTGTGAAGCCTAGGCCATCAGCATTTGCAATCTTTAAAACCGGCGCAAGTACAAGCCTTTTTGGGACTATTCAACATGATTGCGGCAGCCCACAAATTTCAATCAAGACAGTTAAGTGGTAACTGCTGAGGTCGTTCCAAGGTCTTACTAATCCCAATTAGCGTTTATGAGCGTTTATGAGCGTTTATGAGCGTTTATGAGCGTCAGTTTGCAATTGTGTCAAGACAACTCCAAGTCACAAGATTGTCAGCAAAGGCTTGGTCGCGCAATGAAGTCTGCACATTTTGACACGGGCTTGGAGGAGTGGTGAGCTGCACTATTCAAGATCCACATTGCCAAACAAGTCTTCTGCTGCCTTGCGCTTTTGGCCAGACTGATCCGGCGGGTTTTCTCCCGTGGTCGATTCCAAGGAACACATCTCTTTGGTGAACTTCTTACTTTCGCCCTTAGACGGTCCTGTGAGCAGCAAAATGTTCAAATGCTGGGACAGGACTTCTCAACCTTGCCCTTCTGGCCATTATGATGTGCTTTCTGCTTCGCAGCTTTCGTCACAACTGTACAGCCTACTGTGAAATCCGAACTTTCTCAGCATCCTCTTCCTTTGATCTTTTTTCCTTGCTCTCGTTCTTTTCCTTCTTCTCTTTTTTCTCCTTTTTGTTCTTTTTGCTTTTTTTCTTTGCTCTTTGGGCAATCTTTGGGGATATTCTCTGCAATTTCTTTCAAGAAGGTCAGCATGGACATAAATAAAGACAGTGTGACATATTGGTTACTGTTTTGCTGACCCGAAGGGCCCCAAGAGATCCCAAGAGATGTTAAAGACAGCATGGACATAAATAAAGACAGTGTGACATATTGCTTACTGTTTTGCTGACCCGAAGGGCCCCAAGAGATCCCAAGAGATGTTAAAGACAGCATGGACATAGCCTGCTGAAAAACGAACGATCACATTGTGAAGACAAGACCTAATGCTGGTGGACTGATAAACCTAGAAACCATTAGAAACCACTATATATACAATACTATACACCCATGAAGAAATCTTCCGACCAAAGTTCTGGGTGCAGGGGAATGAAAGCGTATGTACTTGTACACATGCTATAGACATACGGTAACGAAAATAGACAATTACACATAAATTGTATTACTTATCTTGTTTCCCAAAGCACCATGAAGGCTGCAACTAGAGCACGATAGCATAGCAGTAGAAAATAGCTTGGTTTCTGGCGTGGACGGGCTCATTGGCTCTGACATAGAAGGCAGACCGGTCCTAACCCGCTGTCACAAGCTTGTCCATCAAACATGAACTTGCCAAACATGGCGTGGGCCCGTTGCATACCTTTTGCTTCGCATGCATCTTGAAATCTCTTTGTTTTTAAGGGACAGCGCGTTACTTCAAATGTGCAAAACTCCGCGACGAACCGAGGCTTCTGCTCAAGCATCGTTGGGAGCCAACTTCCATCACCTGCAGTCCTGGAGTGCTTTATTGCAATATGTGCATGGCCAAGTGGGTCAGTGAGTCAGTTCAAGTCGGGTCAGCGGAGACGACAATTGATGCAGCGCGCTCCAGAGTCGTTTCGGGGACAGCGAATCCCCCGACTCAAAGGCCGCAGCTTCCTGCTCAAGAATCTCAATCATTTCAATATATTTCAATCCACTGGAACAGCAAAAACTGAGTTGCCAGGGGCCAAAATGGCGCAATATCAAAGGCTTTTGATAGGCTGAGATTGCTCAAGTACGATCTTAACTACACTCTCGGCTCAATGAACTTTATTTGCCTGTTTATAGATAGCACTTCGGCCACCGGCAGCAAGGACTCGTCCGGCTATGAAAAGATCGCCAGCCTCCGGAGTCCAAGAACATCTGCTCATTCTGTGGCATTCTGTGGCATTCTGTGGCATTCTGTGGCATGCTGTGTCATTCTGTGTCATACATACTCCAAAGAACTCTAGCATCAAATCCAGCAAAACCATTCCCACATTTGCAAGTGCCGAATTCGGCCTGACTCACTGCAAGGCCCTTGGCCAAGATATTCGAGGCGGCCAGTCGCTGGACGCCTCAGCAACACGGGCACAAGTTATGTTCGCACCGTCGCACCACATCAATCTGATTCAATCTGCATCATACATTGTCAATCATTGTCATACATCTCAACAAGGCCTTGCTCAAAACTCCAGCTTGTTCACAAAGGCAAAGCGAGCTGGTTAAGTGGCAATCCAATGCACGACATTCGATGTCATTCAATAGCTGACGCGAACATTTTTGACACAGACTGCACAGCTTGAGTGCCGACCATCTGTGATCAGGAACTTGCTGGGCTCTGCGACCTGCTACAGCTTAAGAAGGAATGTTGCTTAACACATCTACTGACTGGTCAAAAATAAATCCAATGCAACCACCTGCAGCTGATACCACCAGATCTTGTTGGTCGTCTGGTCCGCAACGAATAGCCTGCAACAAACCGACAGAAGCTCTCTGAGCCAAAGCCCGTCCTTTTGCTGTGTACTGAAGTGTACTGCCAGAAAAAAAGGAATGATTGCACATTAAAAAAAAAAGTGTCGCATCCTCTTGGCCCGCACCTTCTGTGCTGCTCGTCTACTGCAAGTACTGATGGATTTGACAAATTGCGAACGACAAGTGGTCGCCAGGTCGGGTCTGGAAGCCTGCACAGCTGCCGCGAAATCCTAAAGTGACACCCAAAACAATAAGCAGAGACAACGTGAAACAGTAACAATGCAAGCATGTATGTCATATGAATATGTCGATATTATATGTATATTCTGTGTAGTACGACGTATATGGCGTATAATATGTACAATATACTCTGTATACTATGACATATCTTATGACGCATATTATGATGTATATAATGTTATCAAAAGCCAAAAGCTATCATGTATATATATATATATTATATATATATATATATTCTAACATAGGTTGCGGATATTGAGTGTTGTTAAATACTATGTCAAATGCATATTGGGTGTATTATCATGTGTTATCTACACATAGATTTTACGATACTATATTATATCATATCATTCTATATCATTCTGTATCATATCATGTTTTGCTTTATTACATTAAAAATGTGTTAATAATATACTATATTATATATAGAATGTTACTACAAATATTTCAAAATATACGGGCATATACTCTGTGTTTGGCTCCGATTCTGCCTGGCATAGCTGATCTTGAAGTCCTTCGGAAAGCTGGCAATCAAATACCTGGTGACAAACATGTTTGGTGTGCAGCACCTGCGACCTGCATTCGAGGAGCTTGACTAGTAGCGAGACATCATAAATCCGAAATCCACTCAAGCCAGAAATCGATAGAAATCGTGTTTTTCAATCCAGTGGAATTGCTTCCCTCCGAAGCAGGCCACAGGAGGCCTCTGGGACTCCCCTGGTGTAAGAGTCGTCAAAGAGGTCTCCCAGTGGATACCAACCTCCACAGATCACTCCAACTCTCTGGTGCTCACCAAAGCATTTTGAGAGAAAACTTTCCCAACACGTTAGACCCGTGTGGCAGGAGGCCTGAAATTGACGGTGGGATGACTGTGGTAATCTACTACCTTAATGTATATACTTCAGTTTTCAAAGAAGTCACCAGAAGGGTCTCACAGATTAACAAGCCTTGAGGGTATAGGAAGGTGCCAGGAGGCCTCTAGCAGCAGTCCAAGGATATGCTGCTATGCTTAAAGAAAGCCGGAGATACCAGGCAAAGGTTGAGAAATTTGCTGGCCCATTGCAAGTGCACTGCAAGTGAGGTGATGGATGGCAAAAAATATCCATGCTAAAAAAACAATGTTCTTTTGCGCGTCGCTGTGCAAACTTCGGCTCTGTGCTTCAACGCGTTGGATCATAGGCAAAGGGCAAATTACATAGGCAAAAGGCAAATTACTAAGGCCGGCATTCAGGGTCTCTTGGTCAAAATGTAAGACCTCTGTGCCCGTGCTGCAAACAGCACGACGGCCCCTTGACACACTGGTGCTACCCAATAGTATCTGAACAGAATCTCACAACATCTCACAACACTATTTGCCCACCATTAGAACCATTGTTTGTCTTGAAGGCATCAATCAGGTGCACCTGCTGCAACTGTCCACCAAATTATTCTTGGCATTCACCGAGCAGAGCTTGGTGTCTCTGGCAAGTAAAATGCACACACGATCATCAGGATCATCAATCCAAATAGACTGCACATGCTCAAGACGAAGACAAGGCTGCGCGGCAGCCCGAGTTTGAGCTCGTAGATGATTGTGTGGAGCACACGAAAGATACAAAAGAGGCAAGTGAACACCAGGTGCGTAAGGCAGGCAGCCTCTCCATCTTCAAGCACAGTGTAAGAAGCATTCACTGTCAGGAGAGAAGCCCAAATCACGATCAAACCGATTGGAAGGTTTTCAAGGTCATTCTGAATGATGCGGCCGGCATGGTTCGCACGCTCCACATCATCAGCCGTAGCATTCGCATTGTTGTTGAAGTCCTCTTTTGCCCGGAGGTTTGCTTTCCCCTTGGCAAAGCCCCATCGCATGTTGCTGATGAAATACTTCAAGAAGAGAATCAGGGTCACACAACTGCTGGCTTTATAGAGTTCAAACATCCCGATTGCCATTGCTGCAACTCAAAGCGACTTGAAGGGTTAAAAGGGCTTCTCACTAAGGGTGCCACTGAGACCAAATACTGCAGCAAAAATACCGAGGAAAACGGGAGAGAAAATGCGACTTTTGGATGCAGTTGAAGCCAGACATGAAATCCCACACACTTCGAAGATGCATTTGAAGAAGAAAGGATTCTTCTTCTCAAAATTCAACTTGATCGTTTTAGAACAATGCTGGGAATCCGGCTGAGAAGCACTATCGACACCTTGGCAGCAACAAGTACATCGTACACTGTACACATTATTTGCAATATCAGCAGCTAAACAAATCCTTTCAAACTGGCTTGGAGTCGCACTGCATTGTGGCAAAATGCCATGGAGAGCGGAACTGTGGGCTAGGAAACCCCAACCCCAGGAGCCGCACTCAAATGGCACGCACAACCGGTTGACAATTCAATCCAGTCAATCCTTGCTTCTGTACCGAGTTACTGGTCACGGCCCAACAGTCTGCAGTAGCAATGAGCTGTCCTTGTAGCTGAAGGCTCAACGTAAAACGGCCCTTTGCAACGCCAACAGTACATGCCATCCTACGCAACTCTTACAAGCTCAATCAGACACAAAACCAACATGGCCTGAACATGCCCTCTGAGCATACCCAGGCCGTGATCCCCAAAAATGTACAGAAATGTGAAAGCGCATGCCAGTGATCAAAAGAATGGCGGCGTTTTGCTTTCAGGAACCGCCTGGCTCTGTTCGGCCGCACTTTTAGACAACACGTCGAAAGGTCAAGTTGATGCGTTCATCCTGGGGACAGTTCACGAAAGCAAAGACTGTCCAGACCAAAGTCCCCTTCGATATTTCCTTCTCTTTCCCCTTCCCCTTCCCCTTCTCCTTCTCCTTCTCCTTCTGCTTCTTCTTCTGCTTCTTCTTCTTCTGCTTCTGCTTCTTCTTCTTCTTCTTCTTCCCTTTCTTCTTCTTCTTCTTCTTCTTATTATTCTTCTTCTTCTTCTTTTTCTTCTTCTTCTTATTCTTCTTCTTATTTTTCTTCTTCTTCTTCGTATTCTTCTTCGTATTCTGCTTCTTCTTCTTCTTCTTCTTTTTCTTCTTTGTATTCTTCTTCTTCTTCTTCTTCTTTTTCTTCTTTGTATTCTTCTTCTTCTTCTTCTTCTTCTTCTTCTTTTTCTTCTTCTTCTTCTTCTCTCCTTCTTCTTTTTCTTCTTCTTCTGCTTCTTCTTCTGCTTCTTCTTCTTCTTCTGCTTCTTCTTCTTCTTCTTCTGCTTCTTCTTCTTCTTTTCTTCTTCTCTTATTCTTCTTCTTCTTCTTCTTCTTCTTCTTCTTCTTCTTCTTCTTCTTCTTTTTCTTCTTCTTTTTCTTCTTCGTATTCTTCTTCGTATTCTTCTTCGTATTCTTCTTCGTATTCTGCTTCTTCTTCTTCTTCTTCGTATTCTTCTTCTTCTTCTTCTTCTTCTTCTTCTTCTTTCTTACTTTCTCTATATATATATATTTATTTATTTATTTATTTATTTCTGATGTTGCGGCTTCACCGGTTTCACCCCACATGCACTCGGTGAGTCCTTCACCGTTGTGCGACGAGGGAGGGAGTGCTGCCAACGGTCTTGGGTGGCACCCGACATGACCTGGAAACGAAGGGACTGACACATATGGAATCCACGTGGAATCCATGGGGGATAAAACGTCACCTGGATTGTCCATCTAAGTCATCTGCCAACAAACTCCCATGAGCTAGGCGGATGCGAAGCCTGAAGACAGCGGCATTAACAAGCAGCTTGGCAATAGGCAGCTGATAGCAAGTACTGCAGCACACTGTGGCACATAGTAAGGGACAGCAAGCATTGACAAGTCGGATACTGAATCTTGATGCCTTTGGGGTTGACTGGGACAGAAATTCACCCAAAAGTCTTGCAATCCCGGCATGCTTTGCAGGCAGTGTCACTGTCATGAGTGATTTTCATCTCCTCTCTTTTTTCCTTGCTTTTGACATTCTTTTGACCATTTGAATCATTATGACTTCGTCATTAAGTTATACAAAGTCAGAGTCCAAGCTCAAATCCCACCTGCCAGCTCCCGTGCCGCCCTTGCCTGGCTCATGGCGCATTCTGTTCTCTAGCAGCTCCGGAAGGGGAAAACAACTGACCAATTGCTGAACTATGGCGCCTTCCCGCAAGTCAAAGTCTCTCTCAGCACCAAGGGTCACCTTGGGCCAATGAGAACTTCCGTGGCTCAATCAGCTTCTGTCACAAAGAATCATTACATGCTCGAAAACAAGGCTTGCAAATCTTGCAGGAGCGCTGCCCATCCTTGGAGCTTATGCAACCGAGTCTCTGATGCAATGGTCGGCTTTGGACCATAAATCGATTCATTATCAGCATGCCTGACAAAGCTCAGGTTGTCCGCAGGTTGCAGGCACAACAAGTCTACGAGTCTACATCAACGCGGCTCACGCCACACTGCAGCATCTTGGACGAGGTACCATCCAACTGTATCACTACCATTCCTTGCAAGGAGACTGACATGAAGCTGCAAGTTGCGAAAGTTCAAATCCCAAAAACTTTGGTCCAACTCTCAGAATACCTCATGCCGGTTGAGTCCTGTATCTGTTGCAAAGGACGGAGTTGAACGTCTCACCCGTGGTTTGCTCCACGCGTTTCTTAATCTCCTGTAGATACGCAAAGCTCTGGGACTGAACCAGAACAGCATGGGCATGGGAGGAAACTACCCTGAACCGGTGCAGTGACAACTGCGTGGCTATTTGAAAGAAAATGTCCTTGCCCTTGCCTGAAGAATTGTTGCGCGTGACCAAGGCAACGGCTTGACCGTGCGTCCAGAGTATGTGTACTCCTTGTCCTGATGTTCTTCAACTCAATAACCAAAGTGGATCAAAATGGATAAACAAATTATAAGAGTCACTGTTTCAGGATGCTGTCCTCCCCATTTATCACTTGCTTCGCTTTTATACCTAGACGCCTTCAGTCTTGATGTCGACCAAACAAGCCAACAATCGTATCACCTCTCAACCCAGTGCTGGCAACCAAAGGACCCCAAAGTAGCACGTCAACCTGGGCTCCTCATACTGCTTGCCAAACCTGGGCAGGTTGCAAGTGCAATCTCCGTTCATAACTGCAACAGGCTGACCCAGGCTGACCCACATCAGTTGGGCCATCAATATCAGAGCATTGTCTTGAAAATTTCAAAAACATCATCAGATTATCATCACATGTTATCACACCATCATTTCGGACAACCGAGGGAATTGCTGGAGAATTTGCTGCCGAGTCGCACCTTCACTTTGCCCTGACCCCAGGGGATGCTTCGCAGGCGACGTAGCCAGGAATCGGCCTTGCTGCCAGCAAAGTCTGGCCTCAGAGGATGCAGCTTCCCTGTGGCAATAAGTTCAACAAAACTATACAACACTCACTTTAGAGTAATATCTATACACATTTTATATATATGTATACATATATATATACATATTTATTCATTCATGTTAAAATGTTTTATTTATCTTTTTATTTATCTAGAGAGAGAGAGAGAGAGTCACTGAACTTCACTACATGTATAGAACTAATGTCCCTTGAATCTATTGGAATAGATGACAACACGACGACAAGACTCCACTTGAGCAAGTGATGATAGTGGCAAAAATCTGTGCTTGCAAACTGAAGTTAGAATGTGAGCTCTCACCATGGGACAGCAGAGCACGTGCTCTAAAGTAAGGCTTTTGTTCGCTCGCTGGATCAACGTCGGCTGGGCACCGCTCCCGCTTCGCCAGCTCGGACAAGTTCCAAGGCATGAATCAAACACTTCCGGCATCTTAGCAATGTTAGCATTACAATGTTGAAGTGTTGAACCATGTTGAACCTCAACAGCTAACCTCAACCACTCCAGATTGTCATGGGGCTTGAGACATTGGACTCTCCGAGCAACTGCGAGGGGGTCATTTTGAAAAGAGCTTTGTGCGAGCTGAGATGGTGGTGTGTACACCAAGCATGTACTACGTGAGTGTTGCGCTGCAGAACTTGCAAGCTGGTCAAAGTTTCTAAAGTTTCTAAAGACTCTCTTTCATGGTTTTTCACGAGCCAAATCCAACAGTGTTCTGCAGAGCAGTGGCTCACTTTTGGTAATTTCATGCTTTCAAAAGCTCATGATCTCCGTGCGCAAAGTTGCAGTTGGAACCCTTCTGACAGGTTCCCAGGTCAAAGAACTTACCTCAGATCAAATCCGATCAGGTCGGCAAACAATGTCAAGAGTCACAGCTGGCAAAGGCGTCGAACACAAACTCCAAATCTCAAAATCCTTGTGGTTCAGAAAAACCATGAGAGCGGATGAACATCTGATGAACATCTGATGAACATCTGATGATCCGATCCAAGCTGCACGACTTTGTTTTCCAAAGCCCACCATTCCCAGCATCTCCAGATGGACCAGATGGAGCTACGGATGCTACGGGCGTTCCAAGTTCTTGAGCTCCGTGAGCAAAGGAACACGTGGAGCCTGCCAGATTCAACACGCTACACCCCATGGCGCCGTATTTCGCCAGTGTTTCACCTGCCAACAACAGGTAAACCAGGTGAACATGTCGAAGAAGTCTGAAGACGGAATGAAACGAGGACGTGAAGTTGAGCAAGTGAGAAGAGATGTGCAATCGTCAGACTGCCCAAAGTAGGTGAAAAGCTGAAAGCATCTTCTGAAAAGGATGTCCCGTATGTCATAGTATGTCAGCAAGGTACTGCTGCAGATGCCTCATGCACTTGTGGGACTTGAAAGTATCCAACTATCCAAGAGCAAACTGCAAGAAAGTTGATACGAAAGCCTGAAAGCAATTTTGGAGCAACACAGAGACAGAGAGAGAGAGAGAGTGCGCTGGTGTCCAGCAGGGTGAGGAACAAGAAAAATATCCGAGAAAGTTGGAATCACATGTTGGAAATGCATGGACGCCCCTGCCTTTTGCACAAAATCCTCGGTCTTCCCAGAAGCTGCACATCTTTGATTTGATGCCATCATTGGCAGCCTTGAGAGCACCTTTCAAGTCAGCTTCAGATGAACAGAATGTACTGAAGCGAGAAAGCAAGCCAGACTCTGCAGCTACTGCAGAGAACTTGGGTTGAAAGGGATCTAAACAACTGTATTCTTGGTCAGCGAATTTGGTGCACCGATGGCAAAGTGTTGCTACTGTAATTTACTGTTGGTGTTCAAAGAAGCGAGTCCTGGGCAGTTTTAACCCAAACCAGATTCGTCAAGACACATCCTTGCAGTCTGGAAACGTTGAAAGGGCACTTACAACTGTACTCCCACTAAAATTGTCTCAAACAGAACTAAAATGTATCAGTACATTCCATGCCCAGTGAGTTCAATCAGTACTGCGTTTCCACATGTTTGCACAGCTTGGACCTGCCTCCTGGCTGCGGCCAGCTTCCTTTCATTCCACCACACATGCCACCCCACATACCTCCACCCATTCCCATGCCCCACCCCATGCCACCCATGCCACCCTTTCTGTAGTCCATGCCACCCATTCCACCCATGCCACCCATTCCACTCACTCCACCCTTTCCGCCAAGGCTTCCTTTGCCACATCCTGGCTCAGCCATCACCAAGAATTCAAAAAGCTCACATAATCACATATAGACATATACAAACACACACACACTTGCTCAGAAACAGCGATGCGAATTTTGTTGTGGAATGCATCTCACGTGCACAAAACAGTCCCTTAAAAAACTGCCAGGAAAATTTGTTGATTCAGCGCGAATTTCAGTACGAAGTAAATTTTCTACGTCCTTGCTCTGAGGAAGGTTCAGACGCAGCTTCTTCAATCATAAAAATCGTAGAATAGGCAGATTGTGGCAACAGTGCAGAAAAGACGTTGAAAACAAATCGACATGCCGGTTCTGGGCTTGGCCGGTTGCCATGGACGGAAATGAAAATTGGTGCAGGTACACGGAGGTGATCAATCTCCGCTTCCCCCATTGTGGAATAGCTTCGTTGGCACAGGTATCCACAATGGGCCTGTGCCCCCTGCAAGTATAATTCATAAGCGAAAACCACGAAAAACAATCATCATCGAAACAAAGGAAGTTTTACATCTTTTCAGATGGTCCACACACACGCCTCGCTGCCGCGAGGCTTTTTCTCGGGTTTACACGCGGTGAAGGCTATTATCCGTTCCCTGAAGCGGAAATGGCTTCAAAATACAGGGAAGAAACATCAAATGAATTAATCCTAAAGCTCACAGGCCTTCGTCAGGTAATGCCTCCATGCGCCGTGCTTGGTTTGACAAAGTCCGTGTAGATTCCGCCAAGTGGCTGGCAAGATGAGCCAAATCTGCCGCCGAGAAGATCTGAACTGGGTGTCGGGAAAGGTCACCTTCAGTATCCTCGAGACGTTCGAGTATGGCCATGTTGGCCTCCCTGTCATTGTTGAGAATGTTCCAGAGGAACGTTGCCAGTTGATGGATCTGGACGGGAGGTGGATTGATGTCAACATTGGCAATGATAGAATCGGTGTCATCCATGCCGGATTCATGCACCGACTCAGGGCTTTCTGGAGCTTCATCTTGACGGGGATGCCAATTTCCATACGGAGAGATCTCCGGAATCTGAAAATAGCGACGCCAGTAGTTGGCGAGCTGGGAGGATTGATCCCATGAGTCAATCCAGCCATTCTGGCCGGCACGAATATGGCCGATGATGCCATTGAAAAAATATTCCGGCTGCCTATTGTGATGGTTGCCACGTCGATCCACTTCCGTCACCATAAGTCGGCGAAGCGCCGGTTGGGTGTTGTCATCTGAAGGTGATTGGACCTCGACAAAGTAGTATGCATGGAGCTGACGTCGGACTTCTTCCATCTCTTGCTGGAGTGGATATGATTCCCTTGTAGGATTAGGGAGAATTGGAGCTTGATGATCGGCAGGAGATGGTATGGGTGTGGCAAGATTTGCCGAAGAGTACCCGTAGTGAGGTGTGTACTCACCTGATCCTGTAGGTGAGGTGGAAGGTCCAGCTTGGGGAGCATTGTCGCTGCGGGAAGGATGCAATGAATCCGAAGGAGCAGCAGTGCTACTGGATTGCCCATGACTGCGAGATCTCCATGAAAGACGACGTGGCATGCTCATGGAGGATGAAGGATACGTAATACCGGCAAATGAGGAATCACGTTTGGTCATGGTACCGCTGGAGCCAAGAGCTAAAGAATTTAACAGGTAAGAAGCAACAAAGAGGCCAAGACAAAAAAGCAAAGGGAAAGTCCCACAACCCTAAATGCAGGAGACTTTTCAAGCTTAAGGAAGCATGTTGCGGTTCGGAAGAGCCTCATGGCAACTCACGCGCATGATATAAGGCTGAATGTGAGACGTAAAGTAATGAATGTTATTTGAAAAGATCTCACTGTGTTCTTGTCCCTCAGTCCAGTGAGGGCGATAGGTGTTCAAATAGGTGATCAGGTATTCCTCGTTGCGGAGAGCAAATGTATCTCCAGTGTCGTCTTGCCATCTGATGTCCATAGATGAAGGAGGCAAGAATCGATCCCACGTATACCAGATATGCTGGCTGATGCAAAATAACAGGTTGTACACCGTGAAGGTTTCCAACCGGTGTGTGTTGAGCAGAACATTGTAGGTGAACAATGCATGTTCCTCGAGACGAGTGAGGCGAGGGAGGACCTCACATGTTGTAGTGGCCATTGAGTCATCATGAGTTTTATTCATAAGTGGACGAACTTGTTCAATGTCAACGATGACCAGGACCTTTCTGACTCGAGGAGCAGGAGGAGGTTGCTCAGGCCGAGGATTTTGTTGCCAATCATTTTGCTGAATGCGACGGTTCTGCCACATATAGTCGTCCCGCGAGCGGGAGCGTTCGGGAGCTGTTCGTCGGTGAGAATATGAATGAATGAGCCATATTTGCTGTGGATGAACAAATACAAAGAGATGGAGCACTTGGCGCAGGCGAAAGAAACCAAACAAAAGATGGAAAGAACCCCAAAGGAGAAAAAAGCCAAGGGGAAAGGAGGGAAAAAAGACATGGGTCACAAAAGCAACAAATGAGGCAGCATATCACACTTTTTTGACATCGCAAAGATTGATGCTAGAGTCAGTCATCTCCCTCAAGTTCATGAGGTGGGTTGTTCGGACCCGGTGGGTCAGTCACTTCTGATGTCTGTTTCAAAAGTCCCCATCGGAGCTTGCAGAGCTGAGGGTCGCGATGGAGTCTCGCTCCGATCGTTTTCCACGAAGGTCTGGACTTTGTGTCCTGTTTCATGCCGATCAATTCTTGGTCATCGGCGTGGGTCCAAGGACGAGCCGGATCAGGAGGTGTAGCGGCTGGAATAGCATGGAGGATATGCATATGAGGAGACGGCGGAGCTTTTGGATTGGAAGTCAATGTAAGAGGAGGTGTTCTGGGTCTTGCTTTCCCACCATGAATGTAACTGATGTCCTCTCTTGACGCAGCCTCACCATCGGAGTCATCAGAATTCATGTCGCCTGATCGGGCGTCTGATATAATTGGTAGCGATGTCGAATGGTCAGCATCAGGATTGTGGGCGAGTCTGGGCTCAGGGATGGACTCCCCTTTCTGCTTCTTTTTTGGTTGTGGGTCCACCAAAGATGATGACCGTTGTTTTGATCGCACTGGAACAGGGGTGGTAGTGCGTGTTGGCGCCGTAGGGAAGGTAATCGTTGTTGTGGACCCAGGAATCGGATTTGGACCAGGGTCCGTCATGAGACTGGCAGGCCGAGATGTAACAGTGTTGAGAATGGATGCACTGACTGGTGGCGAGCTTGTTGATGCCGGTCGAAGGTATGGTTCTGGATTCAATACCATGTGGGAAGGGATGCCTCCGTGTGATACCAAGGTCGGGGGACCTTCGGATGTCGGTCTGGGCACAAAAGTGTGCAGGCTGGTTGTTGGATGATCAAGACGGAGATTTGCCGGAGGCGGCGATTCATCATATTCAATGGAGGGTTCGAAGAAAGGCAAGAGCCCTGCCAGATAGTTAAGATGCATAATAGCTCTGGCCAAATGATGATGGAACGCTCGCCCTTGAGCGTGATCCATGATCGTTCAAACGAGGACGAAGCAAGAAGAAAGCGGAAATTGAGCCAAAAAGCTGAAGGAGAGAAACAAGAAACAACAGGACACCAACAACCACGAGAAAGGACAGGAAGAAACCAGAAGCAAGAGGGAAGAACAAACACCGGAACCACAACGAAACGAGCAACCCTGGAAAAAGCTGCAGAAGCAAGTTTTTGGTCGGCAATACTCGAGTTCTGATGCTGAATCAAAAGTTGGTTGGAGATGGACTGAAGTTCCGCATTGGGAAAGCCAGCTCGTGCGTATAATCGAATTAATTGCGACAAACCTTGCTGGACCCGTAGGGATGGAAAAGCTCCCTTGATGACAATGTGACAACGCGACCGGAAGCCGCTGAGAAGAACCGAAGGAGGTGAAGCTGAGAATGGTGAGAGAACCTGTGACACCTGTGTTGGTCCCTGGTAAATCAGTTCCAGCGGCTTTGTTTCGATCATAAAGCCGAGGAATTCTTGGTCTGGCTCTGTTTCGAGGATAATAGGTTTTCCATAGAAGCCATCATCCAATAAAACCTCATATGGATCAAATGAGGTAAGACGTTTGTCACCGAAGATGAGGCGATTGTCAACGTAGCGGACATGTTTAATGAACAGGTGATGATTGGAGAGAAGTTGGTGGAAGGTGTTGTGCCAAATCTGTTCACTGATGGAAACGACCATGAGACATAGGGCAGGAGAAAGAGGACTGCCCATGGGACTGCCACGGCATTGACGGATACATCGTTGTCCCAATGCGAAGGTCTGCATATGCAAGGCTGATTTAATCAAATCTGGTACATCGCCGATGACAATCTTCCGAGTGACATTGAGGCGACGAAAGGTACGGCCTTTGATGATGTCTCCTGGATTGTTGGACTTTCCAGGGTAGACAGAGAAGACCTCCTCATCGTAGACATTCATTTTGGGCCGGAGAAAGTCCAGGAGCATGAACCAGGAACGAAGGAATCGGTCTTGATCAATACTGGTGAAGAAGCCTGCCAAGTCTTGATTGACCAAAATCAAATCGGCGTCGACAGGCGCCGATCTCAATATCGAGAGCAAAGTATACACATCTCCGGTAGCGAAATGATTTGGACATGCCGTGGGAATAAGCTGGAAGATGAGTCTGGCAAGAATGTTGAGCATTGGTCTGAATGGGGAATCGACAAAGGAAATAATAGGTCTTCCGCTGTGGAAGTCTTTCTTCCGTTTGGCCAGAATATACCCAGATGGGAGCTGGCGACCCGATCCCACTGCCCACGGATATGCACGTCCGTGTTGGCGTTGAAGGGATTCAACCAAAGAGGTCACGATTGAGGATGGTTCATTGGGTAGGGATTCAAAGATGGAAGG